TAATTTTTTTATAAATAACTACTGTTAACTAAAATAAAAAGAAAAAAAAATGCAATTTAAATTTTTATTATTGATACTGTTGATATTTTTTATCATATCAAATGAAGCTGTGAGAACAAAACAACCACGTACTTCTATAAAATCAGCTCAAAAACATGGTAGAATTAAGAGTCCTAAAACAGTAGTAACTCCTGTAAAAGCTTCTCCAGGTTCAATAGTTGATATTCTAGTTACATTTAATCCTAAAAAAAATAAATATGAACGTATATTAAACAAAAATGGTAAAATATGTAAAAGATATCCAAATGGAATTTTTGTTGAACATATTAGTAGAAATGGTCAAATTCGATATTCACCTGTTCATAAATTAATACAACTAACATATTAAATTTATTTATTTATATTATCAAAATTTTAATATATTTATCAAAATAATTTTTATTTAATAAATAAAATAAATTACAAATTTAAATAAAATATCTATTTCAATTACCAGTGATTTTATTATATTTTAATTTAAAATCAATTGCTTCTTCTTTACTTTTAAAATATTTTTGTTTATATATTTTATTTTTAATCTATCAAAATCTAAATCTTTTATTTCTTTTACCAAATTTATCATAACTAATTTCATTAAAACCTGAAGTATTTCTTTTATCTAATTTACAATTTAAAGCATTATTTCTTTTTGTAGTTTTTCTGAGATTACATTCTCTGTTATCAAATCCAATTCTGTTAATATCGATTATAGTCCATTTAGGATGAAGCAAATGATAAAATTTTAAATTTTTTCTTTTATTATCTTTTTTAATTTCTGTTTTAATATAATTTGTATTTCCATGTTTAATAGTTGACCAAATATATTGACGAAGTTTTGTATAATCTGATACCTCACAGAGAAAAGTAATATTATCTAATTGAGTTTTAACCTCAAGACAAACAAACTTTTGAATCATTACAAGTCTGATCTGATTAAAGAGTTTATTTTTATATTTTGTATGAGTTGATTTCTTTCTTCCAAACCAATTATTAATAACCTTGAAGGTTGTATGTATCTTTCTCCAAGGAGATTTTAAAGATTCTTGTTCAAACTTTTCAACAGATATTTTTTTTAATTAAAAAAAAATAAAGAAAATAATATTTATTTATTATTTTTAATTTAATAATGCAAAGTTTGTATTATATATAAAAGTATAAATAATAAAGAATTTTTTTTTAGTTAATTAAAAAAATGAAACGTAAAAAGAATTTTAGTAAATGTATAAAGTTAATAAATTTATTTAAGTAAATAATAAATTCTATTTTATATAAATAATTCGATCTTTTTTTAGCAAAATAAAAAAATAAAAATAAAAAAAATGATAACAAGAAAAAAAAAAAGAAAATATAATTTTAAAGGTTATTTTCTAAATGAATTAATTTTATATGTTCTTACTAATATTATTTTTGATTTATTCAAATTTGATATTGAAAATAAAATACGAAAAAATAATAAATTTCATCCTATGAAGATTATAAAAAATATATTATTATCTTTAAGAATAATCAATTGATTATTTATTATAAAATTTAAAGAAGAGTTTTCTATAATTTTTGATATCAATTTATTATTATATCAAAAAGGAGGATTTTGAAAAAATATAATTTATTCTTCTATATTACAAGAAGTTACAGAGAGTTTTGAAAATATAGAATATTATAATTATGATTTAAGAATCTTTTTTAAATATATTAATTGTAAACAGTATTTTTTAAAATCTAAATTGAAAATCGAAGAAAATAATAATGATGAAATAGATGAAGAAACTGATAGTGAAAAAATTGAATGTTTGTGTGAAAAAAAAGTAACTAGATGAAAAGTAAAAAAACAAAATGATAATGAAGGTAGAATATATTATACATACTAAAACTATGAATGTAATTTGTTTGAATAGGAAGTAATAAGATGCTATTGTAATGAAGTAGCAAACAGAAAAAAAATTACTAATACTAATAGTAAGAATATAGATTGTAATTATTATATATGTCTTTTACTAGAACATATCAATTGTAACTTTTTTAGATAGGAGTTAGACTTATATTAACTTATTTATATTATAATTTATTAAATTTTTTTTTTTTTTTTTTTTTTTTTTTTTTTTTTTATTCAAATTCTTTTATTTTATTTTTTTTTATTTTATATTTTTATGGATTTT